GCCTCTCATCGCGGCTGGGTTCCCCGCGTCCTGGAACAGCTCCTGCTGCCGCAGGCAACGCGGGGAGTGCGGGGGGCCCACGGGCGGCCACTCACACGGGTAGGGGACACGGAACCAGGGTGCCACGGAGAGGATCTCGCCCCGCGCATCCGTCCGCGCCTTGTAGCCGTAGGCGTCGGCCTGGCTGGGGAAGACATCTGCCCGCGTGAGCAGGTAGCAGAGCAGCCACACCACCATGATGGCCAGGATGATCTGCGGGGAAGCGTGCGGCTGAGCCCCTCGCCGGCCTTGCAGCCGCCATCGCTTGGCCCCAGGCCCCCACGTGCCAGGGTGTCTTGGGCACCACCAAGCAGTGGAAACCCTGGGCAGGGCGGCTCCTACCGGGAACATCTTGAAGATCTGGACGCGGAAGAGGACGAAGCCCCGGCCCCAGCGGTAGCCGGGCAGGCGCAGGGTGATGTTCCGCAGGTACTGGGCAAACAGCACGATCAGAAAGATGGTCCTGGGAAGAGAAGAGGTCCCTGAGGGCTGTTCAGGTGCCACCTCCCCAGCGAGCGGAGCGGAGCAGGACACGGCCACCTCTGGGGTGCCTTGGCAGAGGGACCGGGACTGTGCTAACTGCAGAGTCAGACTCCACAAAGGGTTTCAGCAAGAAAAGCCATGTTCCCCTGCATGTTTATTTAAGTGGCTCTTTTTTGGCGAGCTCTGTCTGGCAAACTACAGTGTTGGCACAAGAAAAAAAGGGTTAAAAAAATGCCAGAGCCATTCGGAGCAGGTGGAAACTAAGCTGTTTGTGCTGGTTGCTCCAGCAGCACAGGGACGTGCTCCAACACGCACGGGCCTGCGTCGGGGAAACGGGTTCGTCTCCCGCCGTGCTCGGGATGCAGGAGCCCTCGTGCCCACCGCCCGCCTTGGGCTCCACGCAGCGTTGCCAGCGGCGCCTCCTCCCCATTTCCTGCAATCTGCTTTTTTCAGGGGGATGTTGCGGTTCCAGCGAGCACGGCGCTGGCGCCTCGCGCCCCTTGGCCCGCCCGGCAGAGCCCCGCATACAGCGCCGCGATGCCCCAGTGCGATCCTGCCCGCTCGCCGGCCGCCTGGAAGACGGAGAGGCCGATGAGCGACACAGTTGGGGTGACGGTGAGCGGCCCGATGTAGCTGAGCAGCGCCCCGGGGAGCCCCAGCAGCCCGATGACCACCTCCACCAGGCTGGACACGATGATGGCCCCTTGGATCTGATGTGCGGAGAGGGAAGGAGGAGGTGCTGAGGTGGCCGGGGCGCCCTGGCCGTCCCCGCACGCTGCCGGCAGGGCCCTACCTCTCTCATCCGTGGCTGCCAGATGTGCGACGTGTTCAGCGGCAGCGTCCAGTTGCCGTAGATCTGCTCTGGGGACCAAGGGGACCCCAGGGAGCACTGAGCCGTGGGACAGGCCATTCCCTGGCCCTGCTGTCCCCCAGTGCCGCTGTCCCTGCCATGCTGCGCCACCTGCCTTACCCTCCGGTGGGCACTTCCACTTCTCCAGAGCCAGGATGGACTTGGCAGGGACGAGGAAGGCCAGAGCGCTCGCCTGGAAGAGGGGCAGCCTGGGCAGGCAGCGAGGAAGCGCTGCGCTCGCTGCGGGCGCTGCCGGCTCTGCGCTGGTCCCCCAGTGGGGCCCTACCTGATGCCCACGGTGGTCTGCACCAGCGTGGTGAGGCCGACGCAGGTGAAGATGGTGCCGATGAGCTGGCTCACGGTGAACTGGTCCTTGCCCACGCACAGGCTCTCGGCCAGCAGGAAGGGCACGGCGATGGTGCCGCTGAAGCAGGTCAGGTAGTGCTGCCTGGGGACGGCGGCGCAGCTCAGACAGGGTGACGGGACTGCTGCCTTGGGGACCACCCCGCGCAGCCTCCAGGCCTAGCACCTTACCTGGAAGCCGAGCAAAATGCAGAGGTACCAGGGGGGCACATCCTCGATCTTGTAGATCATGTCGAAGCTCTTCCTCCTTGGGCCGGCAGCCGCAGCGGGCAGCGCTGCGCTCAGCCCGGGCGCCG